CCACATTGTTTTGCTAGCCCACAATCAGTTTTAAGAATTCATTCCAATTTTAGTTGACTTCTTTGGCTACTTTCATGGTAGCCACCTCTCCCTTCTGTACTCTGCCAAAGCTGAAATCATGTGCCCCATCTCTCCTGGAGGAGCTCATCACCTGACATTTTGTTTTTCTCCCTCATCTTTCATCTTTTAAAATTCTGCATACAAGATGCAGTCATTATTATTAAATGATTATTTGCCCCTTTAAATTCATGGATTGGAACTTAGAAGATTTGGAAAGTTCTGTGAGTTGCCTGTGCCTTCTTGTGCCTATGAGGCGGTATTGTTGGGTGGGTTTGTTCTTTCAACAAACATTCGATTGGCTACTCTTCGACAGGCACTGTGCTAGAGGCTGGGAACTCAGAGTGAGCAAAGCCAGATGCATTTCCACGCCCATAACTTCTGCAGAAGTACTGTCCTCTTCCTTGAAAGCTCAGAGAGTTGGCTACAAAGCACATGTTATTGGTTGCTATACTTGTCATTATAAAGTTCTGTCACACTCCTATTTGATGTATTTTTATTATTTCTAACTCTGTTGTCTGACTAGTTGGATTTCTTGAGATCCCATTCTGTCTTCTTCCTTTTCCCATCTCCCAAACAAAAAGTGTTGAAGGCATTCTAATGTAAGTGATGAAGACCCTAAGAGGACAGGATGGATGTAAGGAGAGAGCTAATGTTTTCTGATTGTCTGTTTTGCACCAGAACTTAAAAAAAAAAAAAAAAAAAAAAAGGAGCTTCATAAACCTCATCTCTTCAGTCATCAAAGCTTCATGAGATAGGCATTAGGAACTTCATCTTATGGATTTCAAACTTGAAATTGTGCAAGATGCTCATAGCTATGGCTCTTCATACTATACTGCACTCGCTTCCTTTAAACTTGGATTATTGCTTTAGCTTTATGGAATTGAAAATCAGAGACATTAAGTACATTTAACTGATGTATAAACTAAAGTAGTAATTTCAATTTAAGGTACCTATTTGCTTATGGTCCTTTTAAGTTGGCCTAATCTTTGCCCTTTAGGAACTTTATTATTCTCATGTTTGAAAAGATTCTAGGAACTTTGTAATTTATATACTTTGGAATATGCATGTTTTATAAAATTATGGTGGTATTTGCTTAATGAAGAAAGGTTAAATACTTTGTCCAGTTATGTTGGTATTATATGCCCAGTTCACATGTGACTTAACTCTTTAACTGTGTAGCTCCCACAGTGTAGGGTGACTGGGGCTTTTGCACAGCTGTAAATAATCCCTCATTTAAACTTTACAGATAGAGATAAATGTGGCTCATGTTTTAGGGGAGAAAACCCCTCAAACATAAGGTTTTGCATTTGGGTATGGCCAGGATAGCTGCAGACTTCTTTCTCTCTACCGACAAGTGGCTACCATTGCGTTCTGGAGGGGCTGTAAATTATAATGCTTCTAAACACTTCAAGGTGTTACAGAGGTCCTGCAGAAACAATTAAGCCTGACAAGTTCACTTATCCTCAGGCTGAAACACTTGAGCTATGATTATTGGCAAAGCTTGCTTCCGTAGAGTGACTTGCCATTTGGTGTACAGAGGGAGATGATTTGAGACATTTTAAATGAGAAGCTCTGTCCTACAATTGTGCCTTTGGCTGGTATTCTAGATAGATTTGCTATCAAGTCATTGTTTTCTATAAATCCCAAAGGCTGCTGTCTCCACTGTGATTAAATATGAACATAAAGCTTTGAAATTCTTAAGTTTGAGCATGGTTTAATTTGAATATGATTTAAAATAAAAGAACATATGATGATGGACCCTTCTTGATAGAAAGGAAAGTAAATTTTAGGATGGGTGTGTGTTTGTGTGTGGGCTCATGCTTCTTAGTGCATTTTTATACCTCTCAGTTTCTTGAAAAAGAACTATTTCCTAAAACTTACCATGTGCTGATACTCTGAATTCTCTGAAATGGAATAGGGAAAGGTCTGAGTTTAGAGTTAGAGTTAAGATTCATGGATTTTAGTTGTGACTCTGACACGTAACATCTTTGTATCTCACATATGAAATGAAACTTGTATGTATCTGTTCCGAATAAGGGACAAGCTGGTTATAAAGAGCAGAGGTGATCATGGATACAAAAGAGCTTTGTAGCAGGTAAAACATTCTTACATTTGCAAGGATGCTAATTAAAAAGAAAAGAAAGCCTATTTATACCCAGGGAACTCATAATCTAGCTGGAGAGAGAAAAGTGATCATCTGAAATAACAGTAAAAACAATTATAGGACAGTATATAATAGGACTAAAGGCTGTAAGTGCTGTGGAATTTCATAGTAATGGGAGATAGTTGATACTTGGGGTAGTCAATTAAGGTTTCATAGAGAAGAGAGATTCAGGTCTTAGAAATTGTAAATATTTTGACTAGATGATGGCATGTTGGGGGTAAGGGAAGCAGCAACATGAATTTACACAGGATGAGTTGGAGAAATAGCAGCAGGCAGCCAGCAGGCTGTACCCAGATGGGAAACTACAAGACAGCTTAAGTCAGATGCCTTTGGAAGCTAAATCTGTTTCAGCTTTTCATTGAATAGGAGGAATTCTCATTGTGATGCTTTTGCCTTTTTTACACAATTAGTGGAGAGGATAGTCACATAACTCAGAAGTAATCTTGGGCTTTAAGTAATGAATTGAGGACTTGCCCAGCAACAAAACCAAAGTTGGCAAGTCTAGACTAGAAAGTATCTTTTTCCTCCACTTCTTGGGGTTATGCTTCCAATTTCCTGTGTTAAATTTTCATAGTTCACCCCTGTGTAAATCCTAATGATCTTTGATTTTGAGTGGAATCGTAGGTCTCAATGAAGTTGAGATCATCTAGACCAGCATCCTGCTATGTTAATAACTTGAGTTTTAAACTCTGCTTGGCTAAGAAGCTGTCTTCTTTCAGAAGACTATATTGGATGATGACAGAGTAGCTGGTATTGAAGCAGAAAGCAGTAGTCCCACAAGGCTGAGAGCTGGAGTTAGGGTTTCTGAAGGTGTTTGAAATTTAAAAGACAGAATACAGGGAAATAAGAAAAAAAATGGGCATGCAATGTCCCTTGAGGTATTTGCTAACTTCTAAGGTGCATATGATCAGAGCAAGACTCTAAGAATCTCTGCAGAAAGAAAAGCCGGGTGCCTAACAAGCTGTGTAAATCGTATATAGTGCTGACAAGATAAAGGTGTGTTCAGGCCTGCCAAGATGGAAGGGTCCTTGTAATTAATTCAGGCTTTAACTGAAAGCTCCAAAAGGCCATGTTTTAAGAGTAAGAAAAATCTGAAAAAAGTTGGCCCTAACAAAACTTAAAACCAACTACCAACCAGATTAAAGTGTTTTGACTGCATTCGCTGTGCCTGACAGAATATATTACACTCTTAGGAGGAGGATAATATGTATCATACAGAACCTCGGCATATACAAAATAGCTAGCAAATGAAAAATTAAGAGGCATGCTAGAATTTGAAACCAAATGACAAAACGAAGAGGTTAAACAGATAGTAGAAAGAGATCTATAGGTGATTCAGATATTGGTGTTATCTGTCAGAAACTATGTTCAATAAAATAGAAGAATTTCAACAAATTGAAATCTGCTTTTAAAAAGTCAAATGAAAATGAAAGAAGTGAAAAATGTAAGAACTGAAAGTAAGAATTCAACACATGAGTTTAATAGCAGTTTAGACACACACAAAGAAGAAAGGATTATTGGACTATGAAAAAATTGGGAGAAAATATCCAGATTGGAGCACAGAGAGAAAAAATACAGAAAAGAGAATAAGAGACATGGGATGCAGTGAAAACATTTCATTTGTGTGTTTAGAGCCCTAGAAGAAGAGAAAAGTGACAGAACCAATATTTAAAGAAATTTTGGCTGAGAGTTTTCTAAAAGCAGTGAAAGACATCAAACCACAGATATCAGAAGCTCTGTACTCTTTGGTAGGGTAAATGCAAAGAGCCATACCTAGGCACATAATGTTGAACTGCTGTAAGCCAAAGACAGAGAAAGCTTAACTGCAGTTAGAATTAAAAGGCATGTAGTACAACAGCTTTTATTTATTAGCAAAAATTGCATGAAGCCAGAAGACAATGAAATTGTATTTATAATGTGCTGGGGGAAAATGATTTCTAGCCTAAAATTTTTTATTTAGCAAAGATATGCTTCCAAAGCCAATGTGGGGGGAAAATAAATTTTCAAACAAATAAAAATTAAGAGAATTTGCTGTCAGCTGACCTGCAGCAAAAACCCCTACAAAACCAACAAATTCTTCAAGTAGCAGGAAGATAATTTGAGATGAAAGCTCAAATGTGCATGAAGAAATAAATATCAGAAAGGGAAAATATATGGTAACTGGAAATGAGAATTTACCTTAAACATTAATAATAATGTCTTATGCTATTGAAAATATGTAGAAGAAAAATATTTGGCACTGATAATGCAGTAGATGAGAGAGAATAAACAGAGGTTTTCTTATATTTGGTAAATTGTGAAATTACTAATTGAAATATAATATCATACATAACTCAATGATGTTTACTTTAATTGCTAGGATAGCTACTAAAAATAACAGAAGACTAAAAAACCAGCAATCTAATAAAGAATAACATGGAATAATAATTAAATTTGTTTGATCAATTTTAAAGGCAATAAAGGAGAAATAAAGGACCAAAGAACAGATGAAACCAACTGAATGATTACACTGTAAATGGGACTATATGTACAATTGGAATGTTGAAGATTTTTGGATGGGATAAAATATTAAGATCTATTTATGTTCTTTTTACAAGAAATAAGCCTTGAGAACACAAATTTGAAAGTAAGAGTGTGGAAATTAAAACATATACATATGTGCACCCACAAGCAGAAAAGAATCAGTAAGAACATTGAATATTTAAATGGCACTGATAATCACTTTTATTCTATCTCATTTGTTTGCTCATTTAAAACTGTGTTGTTTTCTTTGCAGGCACGGTGGTTCTGGGAAGCATACTTCCAGTCAATTAAAGCCATTGCCCTGGCCACCCTGCAGATTATCAATGACCGGATTTACCCCTATGCTGCCATCTCCTATGAAGAATGGAATGACCCTCCGACTGTGGTAAGTGAATTCCAGTGCTAGCCACGTTGGGCACGGTCCAGCAGTTGGGATGGGACAAAGGAAAATGTACTGAATTTGTAAAGGATATTTAAATTCTAGCTTTCTAAAATGAAAGCGTGCTGTTATACTTGGGGTCTGATAAGGCCGGCTTAATTCTAAAATGATGATAAAAGTAAGAAATACAAAAGCAGCAGATCCTAGTTTGTTTTAAGTGTGCTTAGGAAGACAGTGTGTTTATTGCAAAGATCAGCGGGGAGGCTTGGGTCTTGTTGGAAATGAAGCCTTCCTGATGCCTTTCAGTAGCAGTGCTTAGACTCTTGAAGAGATTCTTAAATTACTTAATAATAATAGTTTCTATCTTAAATGCTAACTCTCTGCAAGGGACCGGGCTAAATGCTTTACATGGATTATTTCAATGAATATTTCTAACACCTTGTGAGGAAAATAGCTAGCAAAGGTGACCTAGGGGCAGCATGGATTGCCACGTCACTTGCAGAGGTCCCTGGGTATTTCCCGCAGAGCTGTGAGAAGATCAGAAGGTGACCTCAGGGCTTCGTCCTTGCTTGAAGGAGTCACAGGCCCTTGTGGCATTGCGGGGTGGCCGCATCTTCTTTTACATGGGATATGCCCGAGGCTGAGGGGCTGGAAGTTACTGCTTTCTAGCTGCTTTGGAGCATCTGGCTGTCTAGTTCATAGACCCCAAGCTTTCATGTAAGATAACTCCATTCCTCATTCTAATCATTGCTCTCTTTCCGGCCAACCCTCCACGTCTCCTGATTTGACCTTCTCAGTAGTGCTGTATATTGCTGCCTCGTTAATCTTCATATAGGACTCTCCTTTTCTCCCTCCCTCCCCCTTTCCCTCCATCCCTTTCCTCTTTCAATCTTTACTAAGCAGTTGCTATGTGTCAAGCACTCCACCAGGTGCTGAGAATATAGAAAAAGAAGCCAGTCCTTGCCCTCAAAAGAACGCTCCACTAACTGGGGAAGCCAGTAGAGTAAGTGCTCTCATGGAGTGGTGTACAGAATGCCGTGGGAGCACAGGGGAAGGCAGCCCTCCTCGGCGGGAGGGGTCACAACACTTCCTGAAGGAATGCCTCAGAGGAAGTAAATATAGACTTTATGGTAAAACTGAACAAAGCAAAACCTTTCTGTTCTGCGATAAAGTTTACTTCTGTTCATCTCCTTCTTTGAATCCATTACCAAAGGTAAACTTACAGAATGTTTGTAGTCACACTTAAGCATCTATATATATAAAAGTGTAAGTGACCGACCGACTGGTAGCTATGTTGTGCAATGACCACTAGGGGGCAGATGCTCAATGTAGGAGCTGCCGAGCTGAGGTGACTTGGCAGCTGTGGTTTTTGGGTGACGCACCTGGAACCAGAGAGAAGGGAACCTGATTCTGGGGTATATCACCCCCCAAAAAACCCCTCTCGCAATCCATTACCCCTCAGGGGATGTTGGAGAGCTGGTTTTGACCTGATCCCTGCAAGCCAGGCTGAAGGACCCCACCGATGCACAAATCCGTGTACCGGCTTCTATTAGTTATATAATTTCAGAACACAAATGGGATTATACGACACACATCGTTCTCACCTTGTCTTTTTTGCTTTACTAGATCATTGACTTATTTCCATTTCATTCTGGATAATATACAATTGGCTGTCTATGTCCACTGTTTCAATTTTCTGAGTTTTGCATTTGTGAATTCAACCAATTACAGATCAAAATGATTTTTTAAAAATCCCAGAAAGTTTCAAAAAGCAAAATTGGAATTTGCCATATGCTGAGCACAATACCGAATCCATAGGAATGGAGCGATATGTAGTGCATACCCTGCCGTCATCTTTAGGCAAATATAGATTATATTCAAACAATATGCCGTTTTTTATAAGGGTCTGGGGCATTTGCAGATTTTGGACCCTTCCCTGGGGGAGGCTCCTAGAACCAATCCCCTGCTATACCAGTGGATGATTGTACTTCAGTTTTAAGGATGGTATATAGTATTCCAGTTAGGTGTATCCTACATAACAGATCTGTTATTGATAGAAATTTAGATTGCTCCCCCCATTCCCCATTTTCAAACAATAATACAAGGGACAGTCTTCTTCTTTTAATATATTTTATTGATTTTTTTACAGAGAGGAAAGGAGAGTGATAGAGAACTAGAAACATTGATGAGAGAGAAACATTGATCAGCTGCCTCCTGCACATCCCCTACTGGGGATTTGCCCGCAACCTAGGTACATGCCCTTGACCGGGACCCGGGACCTTTCAGTCTGCAGGCTGACGCTCTATTCAGTGAGCCAAACGGTTTCGGCGGGACATTCTTCTATATATGTTTGCACAGAAATGTGTGACCATAATTATAGTTATGGAATTAATTTTAGCAGAGAAATTGCTTGAAGAATAAACACATTTTGATGTTGATAGATATTAAGAAATGGTCCTTTCAAATGACTATACCAACTTAGAGTTCACCAATAACATTTTGATTATTCTGGTTCTGCTTGCCTTCTGTAATCCTAAATACTTGAATTTTTGCTCCAAGGGAAATTGTTCTTATATGTATTTTTTAAGTGGAAGGTTGATATTTCTGTCAGCTCCCCTCAGAATACACATATAAACCCAGTTTGAGTTTGATTTGCCACATTGAATTTTTAGATTTTTAGATCCATTCTGTAGGTTTTTATTGAGTGCCTGCCACATTCCAGACGGTGTTCCTAGTACTTGAAATGTATCCGTGAACAAAGCAGAGAAAGTCCATGCCTTTGGGGAGTTTACATTGCTATCTGGAAGCAAGGTTTGTTTTTCTAGTAGAATTTTAACATTTTCCTTCATACGTCTTGAAACATTTTCTTAGATATTATATCTTTCTTATGCTCCTATGAAGAAATACTTTCTGACATTATAGTTTTCTACTAGCTACCACTTGTATAAAGATTGTATTGACTTTTAAAAAAAATTATTGATTTCAGAGAGGGAGTAGGAGAAAGAGATAGAAACATCAATGATGAGAGAGGATCATTGATTGGTTCCTCCTGCACACACACACCTCTCTCCCTACCTGCAACCCGAGTATGTGCCCTTGCCTGGAATTGGACATGGGATCTTTCATGGCCAGCATACCTTTTTGGCTTTTGTATATACATTGTGTATTCTTTTATTGAAATCTACAATTGTCTCATTTTTAACATTTGATTCTCTTATGTTTTCTAGATATATAATCATATCTACAAATGCTAATTTTTGCTTCCATTTCCCAACATTTGAGCCTTTTATTTATTTATTTTTTTATCTAATTGTATTGGCAAGTACTTCTACAACAATGTTAAATGTAATTTGAGTGTTAAAAGAAGAGTAGGGCCCTAGCTGGTTTGGCTCAGTGGATAGAGTGTCAGCCTACGAACTGAAAGGTCCCAGGTTTGATTCCGGTCAAGGGCACATGCCCTGGTTATGGGCTTGATCCCCAATGGGGGACTTGCAGGAGGCAGCCAATCCATGATTCTCTCTCATCATGGATGTTTCTATCTCTCTCTCTCTTCCTCTTCCTTCCTTTCTGAAATCAATACAAAATAAAAGAGAAGAGTAGGTATTATCTAGTCAGAGGAAGAGGGAAAGTTAGTTTTTATCCAGATGAAACAGCAAACTCAGAGGTGCCGAGGGGTGAAGAGGCATGGTATTTTAAGGAATTTCAAGGTCAGTGTGGCAGAAGTGAAGGAGACTTGTGAGGGAGCAGCAGAGGATGAAGCCTGGAGAGATCACCAAATACCTGTGTCTTACTGAAGGTGTTGGAGTTATGTGCAGGTAGCAGGAAATCACTGAAACATTTAAACGGGTATGAAGTGGTGAGATTGCGTTTTAGGTCAGTCTTACATCAGTGTGGAAAATGAATCGATTGCAGTGGGACAAGACTGGAGACAGGAGACGATTTCAGGAATCTAGGTGAGACCTAATGGAAGATAAATTTGAGCAATATCCTGGAGAACTGACTGTCTGAACTGGCAAAAGAAGGTGGGTAGGAAAATTGAGTAGTTTATGGTGTAGTTTATCCACACAGGATGTGGGCACATGGGGTGTTGGGTGAGGATGGCACTGGAGTCCAAACTCAGTCTGACTGCAGTGCCTTCCTCGGTCTGCCTCCAGTCTGCATTTTTAGTTTCATTTCCTTCTGTTCTTTAACTGAGTTCTAGATTTCTCTCTTTTCCCTGGGAATACTCTGTGCTTTTCCTTCTCTGTGTCTTTGTGACTGTTGGTCCTTTTACTAACATGCCTTTTATCACCCTTGCCTTTAATTGTCCACATTTGATCCAGGTTTCAGTGGCCCGCTCATATACCCCTTCCTCTGTGAGGTTTTCCTGGACCCCTAAGCAGGAAGTAACCTTTCCTCCTCGTAACTCTTAGAGCATATTACCTGTATTTCTTTCCTATCACTTAACATGCATAGAAGCATAATTCCCTGTATAGTTTTAAGGGAACTTCTGGATTATCTCTTTATTCCTCACAATGCCTAGGACAATTTAATTCAGACAGGAAGCCCTTGATATGTAAAGAAGAGGAGGAGGAGAAAGATTGGAATCTCAGGATTTGAGCCATCCAAGCCTCACTCACACTGATGTAACATCCATTATTTTATTCATCTGTGGGAAGGTGGGGAAGGACCAGTTCTTTCTCTGCTGTAAAGCTGATTTAATGCAATTCATGGTGTCTAATGACTTATCTGAGGTCATATAATTGGCAAGTTGTGTAAGCAAGTGAGAACCCAGGTCTTCCACCTGTAGATTATTTTGAATTGCTTATGGAATTTTTAAAATATATATTTTATTGATTTTTTACAGAGAGGAAGAGAGAGGGATAGAGAGCCAGAAACGTCGATGAGAGAGAAACATCGACCAGCTGCCTCCTGCACACCCCCTACCGGGAATGTGCCCGCAACCAATGTACATGCCCTTGACCGGAATCAAACCCGGGATCTTTCAGTCCGCAGACCGACGGACG